AGGTATAGAAAGAGAGTACCAAGTACATAAGGTTGAGGTATATAAAGAAAGATGAGAGAGGGGCGATGTCCCCATCTAGAGAGAGAGAGAGAGAGGAGATGCACAGTACCCCCAGGTACTGTTCACCTTATCCATGTACTTCTAGGGGTACATGGGTACTCGCCTTGTCCTATGCCAAGTCAATTCAGCCAAGTCCGACTCAAATTGGTCGAGTCCTTGAACACGGACTCCAATATTTAATTTATCCATTAGGAACCTCATTCCAGCAGAAAGATGGACTAGATGCAGGGATAAAGAAATTAACATGTCCTTCTTGGTTTAAATGTACGTGGAAATATACCATAGTGCCACGGAGTACAGGAAAGCAACAGGGGTTTAATGCCATTTAGTGATATATTTTCGCAAATGAATTTTGAAGACTGGCACTAAATAAAAGCTTCTTCATCTCTTGCAAAATACTGTCCTTCAAGGCAATTAATATGAGATATTTTTAAAGTCTAGTCACAATAGCGCCGCTTCATACACAAAGGTAAAGAAATATTACCAAGTCCAGCAGACACACTATTACACCCATGTGCTGCACCAAAAGGGTCATATTCACTTTCAAAACGGGAGGTGAAACCTGAAAGCCCATTCTTCTGTCTCAGGGTATGCAAACGTGGGCGTCGTCCTGTAAGGATCTTATGTGCATAAGTCTGCCCAATAGAAACAACTGAAATTTTATTTGACAGCAAAATAAGACAAAATAGAGAGAAGAAATAATGGCGAAAGAACTTTCTTTGTTCTGCTAAGTAGAATGATAAAAATAGCATTTTGCATAAACCTGTTCTCCAACATCCCAAAGTATCTTGTCCATTGGTGCATGGAACACGTAATGTATCGCAATGGTCAACTCTACAACACCAAGGCTGGGCTTAAAATGTCTACATGTTTTGGAAAGAACAAAGGTGATCTCCGCACGAATTTCATCGGCTAACCGTTTCAAATCCTGACAACCACCAATCTCAAAATGTCATTCAACCCCCTAAAGATTCACGCTATTTTCTCAAGATTGAAGAACTATATGAAGTAAGACCTTCAGTGATAAGTTTTTTAGATGTATTGGTGTTTCAACCATGTCCAGTAATGGGGTTGGAGCTTTCTCCCAGTAAAAATCATCGATATCAGGAATAGCGCATATTCGGCTTCTTGATACCTGCATTAATAAAGTATCGGGCCAAATAATAAGAAGATTTCAGAGTCTTCATCTGCAAACTCTGGAGCCATACAATTGGACCAATCGCGAATAAGTTTCACTAAGATAATTTCAAGAAAACAATTCAAGAAGAGGTATCTCTCCAACCTGTGATAGAATAAGGACTTTCATCCTTCTTTTTCGCTGAGTAAAAGAAGACCCAGCAGAAAAATCAATCCCCACTGGTTTGACAGTCTTTAATGTGTGTTTTTAAGAGAGAAATATGCCAATGCAGTTCGTGCTTCATTGCTTCACAAATCATAAGGGGCATCTCCAACATACATACAAATAAGTTAAACAACACACAGATTAATTATTATTCTGGATGTATTTGTTAATTGTCTTTCCAAATCATAAGTTGAAATACCTGCATAGTAATTGGAGGAAACCATATGAAAATCTCAGAAGTGAGAGACTACTACTCAAAGGGACACCAGCCCCACAAACAGGTATAGGAGAAGATGCATTCACTAATGTGGAACCAGAAGTTAGAACAGCAATCAGGATCCTTTATACCTCGGGATCCACACTATGAGTTACCATAGAAAAAAAAGACTAAAACCACATTTGAGGTGTCCCATCCAAGACATGACAGTGAACCAAAAGATAAATGTGAAAAAACAAAGAGGCACATACAAAGCAATTATGTTGTCATGTTATTTCCTCGTGAATCATCATTTACTCACAGCAATTATTCAAACACATGAGATTGAATAAAAGGGATTATTAAAATCATAAACAGTTTTAGCATCAAACACAGACCAATAGCTAATCTATGAGTTGAAGCATTGGCATGAGCTGGAGCCAAAATGCTCATTTCCCAGAGGCCTGGTGTAGATGGCACATGGCTGGGACCTAATAGCTGTTAATAGAAAGGATAAATAAAGGCAGATAGTTCGATGGCTTAAACCAGAACTGATCTGCTGAAGCAAACAATGGGACTAAAAATTGCATGTATAGCGGAAGGAAGAAAATAAGTACCCAAAAAGAGCTTCTTAGTATCTCGAATGCATATCATGTTTCCATCTTTAATCAACATCCCTGAATGTGAGAGGACCATATCAATTGATAGAATGTTTAAGGAATCAGTTCAACATTTTATTATATTCAAAAACGGCGAAGGCCTCAGAGTACTAGGAGAAATTGCCTAGAGGAAAAAAACCACATCCCTTTAAAACACTAAATGAGTTTGATGCTACAGATCTAAAAAGTCCCATTTTAATGGAGGAACTAAAATCAGCAGTTTTTCCCTATCGAGAGATAAGGCACCTCGACTTGATAGTTTCCCTCTCATATTTTTTAAAAAAATTTGGGGTTTTATTAAGAATGATTTGTGGGATATGAATATGATGAAGAAATTTATGGGAATGGCTTTGTGAGCAAGAGTGTTAATTCTACTTTCATAGCATTAATACCGAAGAAAGATGCCAATGAAGGCTTGAATAATCTAAGACCGATTAGTGACTAGTTTGTATAAGATCATTGCAAAAGTGTTAGTTGAGCGATTAAAGAAGTGTTTGCCCTCGCTCATATTCCGGCCTCAATCAGCTTTCATTCGGAATAGGCTCATTACAAATAGTATTCTAGTTGCTCAAGAATGTGTACATTCTAGAATGTTATCTGGGGAGCGGGGTCTAATGTTAAAATTATATATAGAAAAAGTCTACGATAGAGTGGAATGGGGTATTTTAAGTGAAATCATGAATAGAATGGGTTTTGGACAGAAATGGATTAGACGGATTATGGGGTGTTTATCAACGGCTCAAGTGCTCATAAATGGCTGTCCCAAAGGTGTTTTCTAGCCAGCGGCTTGAGACAAGGGGATCCACTGTCTCCTTTTCTTCTTACTCTAGTGGCTGAAGGTTTCAGCCTTATGTTCAAAAACATTGCAGAGGCAGGGAGATTTGAAGGTTTTAAAGTTTCATCAAATGGTCTAGTTATTACACATCTTCAATATGCAGATGATACACTGATTTTTTGTGGCTCATATGTGGTTGAGTTAAGTAATGTTGCAACTTTTTTGCGAAGTTGCAAACCTGCCTTGGGTTTGAAAGTTAATTTTCATAAGAACTCACTTGTAGGAGTTGGGTGTCATGAAGCTTTGGTCAATTCTTTTGCAGCCATGGTGGGGTGTAGGGTGGAAGGGTTTCTTGTTACGTACTTGGGCATTCCTATCTCGGATTCAAGGCTAGCTAGGAATGCTTGGGATTCCACGATTAGAAGGTCATCATCATTATTATAATAGCCTTTTCCCAATTAATTGGGGTCCGCTACATGAATCCTGATCCACCATTCCATGAGTAGAAGGTATCAAGTCAAATTGGATTTGTGGAAGACCAAATTCCTTTCATCAGGGGTACAAACTACTCTTTTTAACTCCTCATTGGCCAATATGCCTATTTACCAAATAACTCTACTGCTGATGCCTTCAAATGTTGTGAAAGTATTGAAAATTTTGATGCGTAACTTCTTATGGGGTTCGGTATCGGGGGGGAAAAAGTACCCCACTTAGTGAGTTGGGATAGAGTCTATACATCTAAAATGGCGGGAGGTTTGGGGGTTAGAAAAATCAAGATGGTAAATAGAGCACTTTTGGCGAAGTGGTGGTGGAGATCTATGGTGGATGAGGACCAGTTATGGAAAAGAGTTCTGGCAGTTAAATATGGGATTGACCGTAACACAAAATATCTTTCTGGAGGAGGCAATAGGTGTAATCAATCTCAGCTTTGGAAGGATATTGTGAGTTCTAGAGGGGCTATTGTTAATTATTGCCGGTGGGTTGTTGAAATTGGCGACAATGTAAGCTTCTGGTCCCACAAGAGGTTGGGAGATAGACCTCTGAAATTCCTTTTGCCTGAACTTTTTGCGAAGGTAGGTTATCCGAATGCCAAGGTCAATGAAGTCTTCCAAAGGACTGCTCAAGGGGTTTCTTGGAATATTCAATGTGTGTATAACAGAATGCCAGATACGATCATATCTCAATTGACTGAGCTGTTAAATTCATTGCAAGAGACATATTTTGCTATGGAGGCAAATGATGATGTGGTTTGGGAGGAGGAAAGTGATGCCATTTTCTTGGGCAAATCCATATATATGTTATTCCATGAGCGCTTAAGGTGGAATGACAGGAGACTTTATAAGATCTGGAAATGGGCTATTCCAAATAAGATCAGGATTTTTCTTTGGATACTTTGTCAAGGCAAAAGTTTAACTGCTGATAATCAGAGAAAAGGGGGAAAAATTATGGTGAACATTTGTTTGCTATGTAAAAATGATGAGGAAAATGGGGATCATCTTTTCCTCCATTGCCCCTTTACAAGGTCTTTCAAAAGTGAGATTTTTCTTTGATAGGATACCTCCGATTCTACCACAAACCCATACGTTGATTCTAGAAAATCTATGTATTTTAGGAATTTCAAAGAAAGGGCAAGTTATTTGGAATATCTTTAGAGGAGCTCTACTTTGGGAGAATTGGCTGAAACGTAATCGAGGGACCTTTGAAGAAAAGGTACTGCCTTTTCAACAAATCCAAGACAAGATTTTGCATACACTGTGGTTTTGGTTCTCTATAACAAAGGAAGGTGACGGAGTATTGAAGGTTGATATTGTTTTAAATTTGAGAGAACTAATGTGGCAAGCCAATTTTTTGGCCAGACCCATAGGAAGATGGCAATTACCACATCAAGGTTGTGTAAAACTCAATTTTGATGAGTTCGATGGGGAACCCGGGCCCTGCAGGCTTTGGGGAAGTGATAAGAGACTATGAGGGCAATGTTTTGTGGTGCTACTTTGGATCCTGTGGAAAAGAAACAGAATTTAATGCTTTACTCCATAGGATACGAGTATTGAAAGAAAGATGCGTGGACCAGTTTTGTATTGTTGAAGATAATTCCCTTAATGTCACTAATTGGTGTAAGAAGTTGTGGAAACCACCATGGCATTAAGGACTCCCTGGCTACAGTTCTTGGATGAAGTGACTGGTCAGGAACTTGATTTTCACCATGTTTATAGAGAATCGAATGATATGTCTGACTCTTTGGCAAAATTAGGCGTTAATGCTTCTGAATTTGTAATTTGCAATTCTTTGCCTATCTGATTGTATTTCGTTGTCTGTGATTAATGACAAACTCATAACCTTGTCAAAAAAAGAAAGAAAGAAAAAACACACATATGGAAGGAGGTTGGAAAGAAGAGGATAGGAAAAAAAGAGTCCACATCATGACAGTCTAATCCCTACTGACTCAGCAGTATATGTTTGGTTAATGGCCACTTCCTTTTTCTTTTTCATTTTTGCTAATCAAGAGAAGGCAGTCGAAATGTGACACAACCCTTCCTAGTACTACTCCTGCCCAAGTGCACTTAACTTCAAAGTTCTAATGGGAACCAATGTTGATATGAACTCTCCCATTAATGAAAAACTTGAGTTGAAATGAATTCCTTGGTACCTCCATTATTCTTCATATTGGTTTAAGGGTGGCCAACCAATTGAAGACCGACTCAAGTCAGAATAGCTCATTAAGAATTGGAACTTCACTAGTTTCTCATTGCTTGCATTTTCCCGAGAATAAAGACCTTGATAGTAGATTGGGAGAATTCTATAATCTAAATCTCATCAAATGGTCAATTATTCACCAAATGGATTTCATCCACAAAAACATTTCCCCAACATGAATTTCTTCTAAAAGACCAGGCTCACAGCATACTAAGCAATTGTTGGTTAGTTCACCCTTCTTCTAGTAAAAGCAGTAAAAATTGCAACGGCAAATCTCTAAATTTACATAATTTCACTAACCCAAAATCACCCAAATGATCATATGACAAAAATTCAACAAAACAATACCGAACTTGTCATGGAAAACGTTCAATAAAAGAAATTAGACCGTAATATTTGCACCTTCAAAGAACTGGGGTAAGGAGCGAACTGGCAAATGTTCGATTTGATGAGGAACCCTTGTGGTCGGGGTTTAGAAACCCGGAAGCAACTGAAACGGAAATCAAAATCCTCCCAATTCTGATTGATATTAGACGTAGTTGTCACAGTTGGGTTCTGCATAGGGACAGAACCCATGTCTGATATCACAAAAGGAAACACACCAAATGCTGTAAACCGCTGTTACAGAAGAAAAACCACCAAAATCCAATCACAAAAGCCCTACAAAGCGATGATTTCTTTAACTAAAAGAGCCCATTTTCTGGATGAAATCTGCAAACAAAGGGTCAATACGGTAGGGGAAAAGACAAATAACCAGGACCTCGTTCTCATCAGAATCTGATCAAAAGGGAGAATTTTATATAAGGCTGCAACTGTATGGTGCCACACTAGAATCCATTAGAAAAGAGCAAAGAATTTCGGTAGCCCTTAAAATAATTAAATATGTTCAATTACGTGGATCTTTTAGTATATAGTAGGTACTTTATGCAAACCTCGTCCTTTATCAAATCATCTATGAAATATTAACAATTTAACACTTCATTTATATCTTTTGATTTAATTTTAAAATATCCATGAACAATTGGAAAATTGTTTCAGCCGGGCTGGACCATATGACTACACATACGGTCCAAAAAGTGTAAAGCATCCATTTTAAATATGGATGCAAGTACGCGTTCCATCTAAAATAATGGAACTACGGGTTCAAATGTTTTCTAATTAAAATTATTATTTTTAATTTTTAAAATTTACTTATTTTTTTATATTCATAATCTCCATGTTAGAGATTACAGGTCCATAAAAATTAAGTCCAAACCCATCTTAAAAATAAATTTATTAATTTTTGGCTTGACCGCGTAGAAACCGGGTCCTAAAAAATTATATGGTTTCTGTGGGATAGTTCTAATTGCAGAGCTATCTTATACACATACAATCTTGGTTCGTAGTTCATAGTTCCCTTTATTTTAGAAAAAAAAAAAATGCGGGCTTAATCAGTTAGTACTTACAATTTGCAACACCACTTCTTGGACCCAATTCCTACAAGGATTAGGGCCCTCTCCACACCCAAAAAAAAAAGAAAAGCCTGGGTCGTAGCCAAAGGCAATTTCCCTTTGTTTAATTTGCTCGATATCTTCTTCCCGAAAATTTTGATGTTGTACGACTGTTGTACAAAATGTGTGAAATCTCTGCCATTTCATGGAAAAGGGGCTAAAATTTGGGATATCTTTGCCATTTCATTGGAAAGAAGCTTCTTATTTGAGGAGGAATGAAGCAATTTCCCACGAAAATCGTTCTAATGGAGTAAGATTTTGATGAATTTTAAAATACCTTTGAATTTTAGTTCTAATGGAGTAAGATTTTGATGAATTTTAAAATACCTTTGAATTTTAATCGGTTGATAATCTTGACCACCACATTCATTAATTCACATTCATTAATTCGAACAAAAATAAATTGTTTTTTTAAATAGATGATTCTAAACTTTGTTTTCATATTATTTTTTGTTGGCTTCTTGAAACTCTTTTAAGATCATATATTAAGGTTTAAACTACTATTTTATTCTCCCAAATTCTTGATTGTGGTAGTTAGATTATTACCCAATAAAATGTTGGATTCAAAATTCATCTCCAAAATGAATTTCATGTCATCTCTAATGTATTTTAGAAAGGGACCGCATAAGAACATGAACACCATCAATTTTTGTGTTTTATCCGACACATCATTTCAATTGTTGTTTCCTCCCAAAAATCTATGTTAATAGATAAAAACTTTAGGAAAATTATACATACATCCGTTATTTTAAGCATTATTACAATTTTACCTAAAATTTGCACTTACTACATTCACAAGTTTGGATATTACATGTATATCCATTCTTAGGAGCCCCTATTTATTTATTTTTACAAAATTACCCTATTTTTTAATCTTCAAGATCTTAAATAAATAAAAGAATTTGAAATTTCAAGGTCCAAAATTGCCCTATTTTTGGATAATTAGGATCAAAAATATAAATTAAAAAAAAGAAAACCCTATTTTCAAACATTTAGGATCCAAAATATGTGTGTATGTGTGTGTCTATATATATATATATATATATATATATATGACCTTCAATGTCCGCAAACTATTCTGGACCTTAAAGGTACAAATGTGTGTATAGACAATTTAGAATAGAGCAATCGTCGACTATTCAACTTTTTTATGAGAGTAAATTATGGATTTTTGGAAAGACTGAACCTTCGAAAAAGTTTGAGCTAACTTTTTTATTTTAATTATTGGCTAAGAATATAAAATATTTTTGGAGTGATTTTGCACATCTTATTAGGTAAGTTTCATTTATCGCTTTTTAATTTCAGAAAAAAAATTATGACTCCCAAATTGTAGATTTTTTATTTTGTAATTTCGAATTTTGAAAATCAAAAAAATTCAAAAAAAAATAGATTTTAAAAATCCGAAAATTTTAATCATAGTTAGTCCATGCAAAAATAAATTTCAGATCTTAAAAGTTCAAAAAAGGCAATTTGGTCATTTTTAAAATATTGACAAAATGTTATAGTAACCAATATAAAATGGGTGGAGTAGTAATAACATAAACTTTTAGGTTAAATCGTAAGAATGCCTAAAATAATGGATATATGTGTAATTTTCCGATTTATTTATTGACTACTATTATCTTGAATTTGACAAAAATGGATTTTATTCGCAAAAATATTTTGTTTAAAATTTTACTATTAGATCATTGATATTAATTCTTAAATATAATTTTTCCCATACATCTAGGACAAAGTTGTTGCCATCTAATGAAATAACTTATGGTAACTAAGACAACAAGTGGAACCCATGGAACAACACATAAGTGCAATCGTGGGCTCCTAGGTGTTCTTTCTTCACCATCCTTTTTATTGGACATTGATGGCCCCAATAGACAATGATTTTCCATAGTCCATTTGAATTATTGTATACCCCATAGAGTTGTAAGTAGTAGTAGCAGCAGCATCAGTATTACTAATAATCATATCAGCATTATACTAATAATATTTACAAATTTTTCAATAAACCAATAATAATGATAATAACAATAAATAAGTTCGAGATATATATGTATGTCATGGATTTATAATTTTCATGGAAAAAAGTTTGTATGTTTTTATTCTATCGTCAATTTTTTCAATTTAATAAAATATAATTTTTGTGTATCTTTGTGTTTTGTTTTTAATGTCATGAGAGCTAGGATTTTTTGCCTATGTCAGTCATGAGTTCCACTCATTGCTTCCTATAACTGGGATTCCTTGGTGTAGAATTATAGTGTGATATTTTGTTAAGAATATGTCACTATTTTTTGTTGGATATATGTGGCTATTAAAAGCCTTACAAGTGTTTGTAATTAAACTTTTTGATATAATGAAATATGAACTCAGTGGGAGTGTGGTCTTGTGTAGACCATATTAAGCTAACAATGTTTACTGATACCAGACTGAGCTTGACGAGCAAGGCAGGTTGGTTGGAGAAATTCATGTTACCTAAGTATAGAAATTAAATCAACAAGGGCTATAATGGGTCATCGCTTGATGACGTGGGAATATGCCCGAGAGAGTGAGCCGCGAGACTGTGTGGGCCCTTGTGTATGATGGATGCCTTCAAAGACAAGGGTCAAAGCCTCATCCGCATACTATCACACAAGATGTACATATGATAGTCGTTTTCGAGAAAACGAATAGCCTTTCAAGGTGAAGCTTGTGCATGTACGAGAGATTATCCCTATGCACCATAGAGTTGTGGATTGCATCAGGTCTAAGTAACCTTGGTTCGTCTTAAGGGGAGAACTTGAAATCCATAGACTAAGATTACGACCCTTTGCCTATTGGCTAGGCTTTGGTGACCCACTAATAAGCCCTTGCATGGACTGTACGTCGTGGGCAACAGTGGGTGTTTGAGAAACCAAGTGGGGATCGTAATTCACAATAGAAGGTGAAGTGCCTCAGTATTTATTTATTTATTTCTAGATTATATGGATCATTTTCTCATCAAAATTACTTAATTGTGTTTGTTTTAATGTTATATTATTTGTAGAATTGCCATTTGAATTTTTCTGGATCCTGGGTATTTTATTTATAAAATTTAGATTTAAAAAAACATAGATATTGATTTTACATTGATTTAAATATTCGAATAAATTCTAAAAATATTTATTTGATTTTAAAATTATATGGGACCTATTTGTGCACATGGGGCTACCATGGCAAGTTCGTGGAGCCCATGAGATGCCATCATGGGTGGCACGCCCCACCTCTTGGATCTTTCCATCTTATTGTGATCAAGTGATTTAGCTTGAAGCCCAAGATATTAAGTGTTTTGGAAAGATTGGATTTTGATGAAGTTTTGAAACATAATAAAAAATAAGTGAAGAGTCTTTTGTGTATGAGTATGGAAAACACAATATTATAATTGATATTTTATTTATTTATTTTAATTGATGGGAAAATGGTTTAAGAAATGGGGGATAAAGATTTTAACCACTTTCATATGATCTTGATGGCTTATCTATAGAATGGATGGCTCATATCTCTTACCTCATGTCACCCAAGATCAATTGTGCATGTTTAATCTTACAAGAAGATGTAAGCCAAGGGAAACGCTAAAACCCCTTGAAGCATTATAAAAAAGGATGGACCCTACTCATATATCTCTTACACCTAAAATCTCTCTCTTCTCTCTCCCATATAAAATAGAGGAGCACGTCCCTAATAGAGTAATTGTATCTCTCTAGTTTTTTCTTTTTTTAAAAAAAAAGAGGGGGGCACATCCCATCTCTTGAGATTTTCTCCCTCCCTTGACCAAAGTAGAGGCACCCTCCACATAAGAAAGACTCTCTCTCATCTCCTCTCTCTCATGGCGTAAAGGGTCAAGGTTTAGTAAAAAGATGTTATTTCTCTCAACTAGGTTATCAAGGGGTTAAGCTTTAGTTTGAGATCCAAGTTTTGAAAGGAGTTCTCATTGGAGGGTTTGGCCTAACTGTTTTTCCAAGATTGAGATTGAAGGTTGACCATTGATCCCGCGCTATCGAAATGTGGTGACTCGATGTGGAGTGTAAGAAACCTGGTTGAGATAATCTCTGACACTCACTTTATTTATTGTTTCTTACCACATTTACTTCTTATGTTTTTTATTATTCCCAAACATATTTTGTGCATTTTTTTTATTATTAAAAGAAAATTTTATAGTGGCATAAAGTTTTGAAATCCAAGATTTATTTCTTTTATTTTTTTTTAAAGTTGATTTATTGTAAAATGACTACTTGTGAGTGATCTAAGCTGTGGAAAAAATAAATAAAAAAGAAAAAAAACAAATATATTCTCTGGCTAGATCACATAAATTCCTTTCATTTTTTGCCTATGTCAGTATGAGAATAGTGCTAGGTTTGATTCCCTTATGTAGGATTATAATGTGTTG